GTCAGGGAAGGCCTCACTACAGGAGGTGCACCTAAAGAGAAGAATAAAGAAGGGAGGGAGCAAACCATGAAGATGTTCAGGAGAAGTGGGTTTAATGGAGGGAAATAATTGCATATGTGAAAAAATATAGTGTCAGTTGGTGTACCTATGATATTTAAAATTTTGGAATAAAAGATGAACATTTGAAATAAAATAATTAAAACAAAGTTATTTTAACTTTAAAAAATTTACAAGAGGATTTTTTTTAATCCTCACCTGAGGATATGTTTTATATTGATTTTTAGAGAGGAAGGGAGGGAGGGAGGGAGAGAGAGAAACATCGATGAGAGAGAGAAACATCGATCATTTGCCTTCCGAATGCACTCCTACACATCGGGGCTCCCAGTACACTTGAGGTGACAAGGCAGAAAAATGCAAGACCACTGGTAGTAATGGGAATAACGGCGTTTGCCTTGAGGTCAGGCATAGCTCTGAGCACCTCATATGTATACTATCTGTGTATAACCCCTTTAACAAATATTAACATCTCAGGTGTGCCCTGAACTGAATTTACAAACTTCTCTAGTCCCTGTTTTCTGTCTTTCTTTTTTTAAATTTTTTTTGTTTTGTTAATCATCACCTGAGGATATTTTTTCCATTGCCTTTTCAGAGAAAGTGGGAGGGAGGGGAAGGGGAAGGGGGGAGAGAAACAGATGTGAGAGCCACATTGACTGGTTGCTTTTCCCACACATGCCCCGTCTGGGGGCAGGGAGCAAACTCTCGACCCCTCAGTGCGAGGGCTGACACTGTAACTACTGAGCAACACTAGCCAGGGCTCTAGTCCCTATTTTCAATTCCTAAATAAGTTATCCTTCTTAGTTAAATCATTTTTCTTAAAAGACACCATTTTTCTTTTTTGATTCTTCCCACCCAACTACTAAGAAACTGTGGTTCTATTGGGTTTTGAAATTTTCAGTTCTAATTCTACATATAAGATCTTAAAGTCTGAAATTTCTCCCTTTGATCTTTGCAAGTTTAGTTTATTATTTAGCTTAATTCTCATCCCAAATAATGGGATAAGGTCTCCTCTTCTATGTTCACATGGAACCTGTACATAGCAAACTTGCTCCGGAATCTGGGCTCTTAACCACCAGTAAAGAATTACACTACAGATGGAAATATGTACAGGCTGATCTCAGATTCTGGCTTCACCTCTTAATAACTGGATGACCTTGGGCAAATTTTAGAAACTTTCTGGACCTCATTTCTTCAATTTTAAAGTGGATCTAATTAGCCCTCGCGGGGTAGCTCAGTTGGTTAGGGCGTCTTCCTGATATGCCAAGGTTGCAGGTTTGAGCCCCGATCAGGGCACACACAGGAGTCAACCAATGAATGCATAAATAAGTGGAACAACAAATTGATGTTCCTCTCTCTCTTTAAAAAATAAGTAAATAAAAATAAAATGGATCTAATTATGTAATTTACCTCCTGAGATAATCTAAATAATATGCTTTACATTTAGTCTTCAGAAATCCAATGAGTTCTGTTTTACAGAAAAATGCAGTAACTTTTACTTGATCCTGTTAGGATGTAACTGATAGAAAAGTCTTCAAATATAAAGAATTTGGGAGGGAATTACATAATTTATTACCATGTTGATGCCAACTAATTTTTTAGTTCTATTTTCTAGTGCAAGACAGGGCAGATATGTAACTTTTGTTATTTGGAAAATAGGCTAAAAATAGCACATTTGGTTTCTGTCCAATAAATGTTATATAAGCAAACATGATTTTCTTCAGTATGTTTTGTGTGTATCCTTTTGAATTATGGGCTACAGTGAATTGCAGTATTATTTATTTAAAAAGCCACCCTACTTGAATTATCAGGGGGATCACTTTGTAAATTATATAATTGTCTAGCCTCTATACTATATACCTGAAACTAACATAAAATAATATTGAATGTAAACTGTAATTGAAAAATAAAATTTTAAAAATATATTTATAAGAGATTTTTTAAAAGCCATCCTTGAAAGAATAACTTTTCCATCTTTTAATTTATTCAAGAAATTGACTGATGTGACTATATAAAAATAAAATTTGAAGGAAAACAGTCAAATGAGGTGTTTATATTAAATGTCAAATAGTTAATGTCTGTACTATATTAAGATTACATTCTGCAGATAAATGGGCAAAAGGATAGAACAAGTCCACAAAGGGGAGAATGTGGAGGATGTGTATCCTGTTGGATTAAAAACGTACAAATTTACATAATTTTGAAGTACCACTTTGCATCTAGTACAGTAGCATAACAGACTGCTGATGAGGTTGAGGTGAAATTGTAATCATTTATTCCAGGCATTGTAAATTGCTAGGACCTTTATTGACAGTCAAGTAACAGTACAAAGCAAGAACCATGCTGATTTACATTTCTTGGACCTAATAATATCACTTCCTAGAATTTGCCTGTAGATAAATTCAACCAAAGCTTAAAGAATATATTCAAGAAGATAATAAGTATAAAAATATATATAAGTCAGTTGGGGCTTTCCTAAACATTTGGGTGTTTGGCACTCATTCCCCCAGCTCTCACCAGCACCTATCACATGTTCCCACATTCGTTTTCCATTCATAGAAGGAATATTGAAATGGTTTTTATTTTTTCATGAGAGCAATTTATAGGTTAATTGCATGCTCCCTGCTCTATAACAAGTCTGTTTGGGAGCCAGAGAAGACTATGTCCTGAATCTTAGGTTTCTGATAACAAAGCAAAATAAAAAAAGTTCTGTACACTAGTGGAGCAAGAACACAAGGAGACCACACTTGGCAGTGACACATTCCACTTAGAAATGTTAATTCCAGAACCTACCATTCTCATTCAGTCTCCTCTCCCCTCTTTTTTTAAAATACATTTTTTATTGATTTTTAGAAAGAGGAAGGGAGAGAAACATCGGTCAGTTGCCTCCTGCATGCCCCCTACCGGGGATCGAGCCCAAAACCCCGACCAGGAATCGAACCAGCACCCTCTTGGTGCATGGGTCAATGCATTGCTAATCCACTGAGCCACACCAACTGGGCTTTTCCTCTCTGTCTCCCTCTCACCCTCCTTTCACTTTTCTCCATCCTGTTGGAATAATATTCTCTATTTACACCATTCTCTTAATGTTTGCAAGGAGCAGAAAGGTAAGAGTATCAGAAAAACCTACTGATGCCACAGGAGATAGAAACAGTGTTGATGCTGCCACTTAGGTTAGGAAGCCCATGGTTATTTTATTTTATTTAATTAATTAATTAATTTTTAAAATCTTCACCGAGGGTATTTTTTCCATTGCTTTTCAGAGAGAGAGTAGAAGGGGGAGGGGGGGAGAGAAACATCGATGTGAGAGAGAAACACATTGATTGGTTGTCTCCTGCACTCACCCCAACTTGGGCCTGGGATCGAGCCTGCAACCAGGGTAGATGCCCTTGGCCAGAATCAAACCTGGGACCCGTCAGTCAGCAGGCCAGTGCTCTAACCACTGAACCAAACCGGCTACGAGCAGCTCAGGATTATTTTAGAAAGAAAATTGTCCATTGTCCACTTTGTGTTGTAACTCAGTTACTAAACACATCATTTATACTCAAGATGTGGATATAAGGTGCTGTGGCACTTATGAATGCCTGTGGAAAATCAGACTCTAGGGTTCAGCATTTTCTAGGCCTACAGCATAACCAGTATACAATGTGTACTTCTGGGAGTGGTTAGATGGCTGCTTTATAACTTATATAAACCTTGAAGAGCTTATCACCAATTTTTCCTTTCCCCCTAAATGTTAGATTATTGTATGAGATGCTGAACTGTTAAGAAATTCTTTCATAGCAATAATTATTTTAAAAGATATCTTTGGTATGGATGGATGTGTAGAGGATGAGTTTTCTAAGCAAGAAACAATTGCACTTTTATGACCTTGGCATATTGGAACAAATAGAATTTCAGACTCAGGGGAAATGCTTTAGATGTGGTATTTGGGGAAAATCTGAGTCTGAATTTGTGAATGTGAATAATTATGGAGTTCTGTGTTGGAAACCTAATTTACGTCACCATTTGTCGATTGCATATTATTTTTGTTTTGTGGTTTTATATCTTATGTATTCAGTGAGAGGAGAAGTGGTGAGCTCAGTTGGACATCAGGGCTGGAAATGGGAGTTGTGCTTGAAGTCCTATGATGAGATCTTTGTATGGTCAGATATCTGTATGTAAATCTTGATACTTATATGTTATGTAGGTGACTGCACTTTTATATATACATATATATATATATATATATATATATATATATATATCTTTATTGACTTCAGAGATAGGAAGGGAGAGGGAGGGAGAGAGAGAAAGAGACAGAGAAACATCAATTATGAGAGTCATTGACCGGCTGCCTCCTGCATGCCCCAGACTGGGGATTGAGCCCACAACCCGGGCATGTGCCCTGACTGGGAATCAAACCATGATCTGGATCCTAGGTTGATACTCAACCGCTGAGCCACACTCGGCTGGGCTGCTTGCACTTTTTTTCCTCTTTCTCACTGGGCTCTTGAAAATTTTGAAAATGTTCTGGGTTTTTCTGTATTTAACCCCCCACAAAAATATTTTTAAGTTACTATGAACACATAACAGTCAGGAATTGTTTAAATTTTATTTATTAATAAGTGAACAAAGTTGGCACTTAATGGATGAATCTTGGCCAGAGTTGGCAAAACTTGATCGTGAGCAATAATTTGTCTTGGATTTTTTTGTTGTTGTTAATCCTCACCAGAGGATATTTTTTCTGTTGATTTTTAGAGAAGTAGAAGAGAGGGAAGGAGGGGGAAGAGAGAGAGGGAGAAAAACATTGATGTGAGAGAGAGACGTTGATTGGTTGCCTTCCACGCAAGACCCCAGTCTGGGCCAGGGATGGAACCTGCAACCCAGCTACGTGCCCTTGACTGAGACTTGAACCCGAGACCCTTCAGTGTGGGGGCTGACGCTATAACCATTGAGCCATGCTGGCCAGGGCCTGGATTTTTTTTTTTTTTTTTTAAACTACAATACAGATGCAGCTGTTTCCTAGCAGTTGAGTCTGTAAATCACCTCCTGTAGGACACGGGTGTCCCAGTGACTGAGAGCCAGCTGTTGGGTGTTTTAACTAAACAGCTTGCTCCTAGTTGGCTGCTCAAGTCCCAGTGAGAAGTACTGACTGCTCCAGGGATAGAGCGGGAGTAGAGCATGCAGGCTGAGGATTTTCGCAAGGCCTTCAGTGGTGCAGTTTAAATTTGTTGGGATTTTTCTGCTTTGGTTTTTTTCCTATAGGTGCCCAACTTCATCTACTTCAGGTTTTCATGAATGACTCATCTTCCTGTCATATTTTGTTAGACTACAATAACTGAAAGCTCTTTGGGTCACTGCTATGAAATTTCTCCTACCACATGTATTAGGAGAAAGCAGTAATATTCACACTGAAGCCTCTTTCCATCTCATGCTGATTGATTGTTTCTTCCTGAAAATGACATTTTAGTGATGCATTGTTTTCTGTGGAAGGAAGCCTATGACCTCTTTTTTTTTTCCCTTTCCAGAGGGGATCTGGAAAAGTTGTAAGCACATCATTTCTCTAAGAAAATTTTGGATAGCAGAAGTTCTGGATAACAGGTAAAGTATATTTAAGCTTCTTTGATGATGCCGATAGTCACCTATAATCTGCAGAAGTAAACTGGCAGAGGGAAGAAGAGAAGGAGAAAAGCTAGGTGTACTTAGTGTCAGAGGTAGCATTAGGGATTTTATATATATTACCTTATCTAGATAATTTTTACCAAGATTCTGGGCATAGTTCTAAGAATCTCAGAATAAAACTATCCTTCAAAGTGCTGTTTTAAATGGATTTGCCTATTGATTGGATTTAATGTCCTCACAATTCAGTTTGCAGACATGTTTTAACAGTCACTAGAAACATAATACAGAAACAATACAGAATCCTAGCAAGAGAGTGTTTTCCTAGTTCCTTTCTGTCTTGTTTTAGTTCTTGATCATTGCCAATTATTTGCAGCCATACTATCTTTTAAATTATTTTTAATACTTTGTCACCAGGTGTGAAATTTAAGATTCCTAATAAGGTACTTCATAATGAAGTCTAGCCCAGGTATCTCCATTATGTTCTCATTGGTAGTCTTATCATGCCTGGACCAAATAGTTTTCTTATTTCTTGTCTATATCTCACAGAGCTCTGAAGGCCTTATGAAATAATAATATATGTAAAGAATCCAGTATACTGTGTCTGAGAAATACATCTGAAATTATAGCTATAATTTTACCTTTTAAACTAGAGAAGACATGAAAGCAAATCAGACTTTCTAGTTTGGTGGCGCAAACAAGTACTCATAGACTGAGGTGAATTGTCCTACTGGAGGGTAGTAGAACGAGATGCTTCTTATTTTAACAATCATTCTAGTATGAGCCTTGAAGTTAGATTTCAAGTATGCAGAAAATAGTTCCTAGAGATATCAGTAAAAATTTAAATTACTAAGATTTTAATATTTGCTGATTTTTCCTTTGTTATTTTTCCATTTTTATCAGGGCATACCAGTTCAATCACCATGAGTTGGAGCTTCCTGACTCGCCTGCTAGAGGAGATCCACAACCATTCCACATTTGTGGGGAAGATCTGGCTCACTGTCTTGATTGTCTTCCGGATTGTTCTTACAGCTGTAGGAGGAGAGTCCATCTATTACGACGAGCAAAGCAAATTTGTCTGCAACACAGAGCAGCCAGGCTGCGAGAATGTCTGCTATGATGCCTTTGCACCCCTCTCCCATGTGCGCTTCTGGGTGTTCCAGATCATCCTGGTGGCAACCCCCTCAGTGATGTACCTGGGCTACGCCATTCATAAGATTGCCAAAATGGAGCATGGTGAAGCAGACAAGAAGGCAGCTCGGAGCAAACCCTATGCAATGCGTTGGAAACAGCACCGGGCTCTGGAAGAAACAGAAGAGGACCATGAAGAGGATCCCATGATGTATCCAGAAGTGGAATTAGAAAGTGAAAAAGAAAATAAAGAGCAAAACCAACCTAAACCCAAGCATGATGGCCGACGGCGGATTCGGGAAGATGGTCTCATGAAAATCTATGTGCTGCAGTTGCTGGCAAGGACCGTATTTGAGGTGGGTTTTCTGATAGGGCAGTATTTTCTGTATGGCTTCCAAGTCCACCCATCTTATGTGTGTAGTAGAATTCCTTGCCCTCATAAGATAGACTGCTTTATTTCTAGACCCACTGAAAAGACCATCTTCCTCCTGATAATGTATGGTGTTACAGGCCTTTGCCTATTGCTTAACATTTGGGAGATGCTCCATTTAGGGTTTGGGACAATTCGAGACTCACTAAACAGTAAAAGGAGAGAACTGGAAGACCCGGGTGTTTATAATTATCCTTTCACTTGGAATACACCATCTGCTCCCCCTGGCTATAACATTGCCGTCAAACCAGATCAAATCCAGTACACGGAACTGTCCAATGCTAAGATCGCCTACAAGCAAAACAAGGCCAACATTGCCCAGGAACAACAGTACGGCAGCCATGAGGAGCACCTCCCAGCTGACTTGGAGACTCTGCAGCGGGAGATCAGAATGGCTCAGGAACGCTTGGACCTAGCAATCCAGGCCTACAATCACCAAAACAACCCCCATGTTCCCAGGGAAAAAAAAGCCAAAGGGGGGTCTAAAGCTGGGTCCAACAAAAGCAGTACGAGTAGCAAATCAGGGAATGGGAAGACCTCCGTCTGGATTTAATCTTGGCTGGGCTTGAAACTTGTGCTTTTCATAGTTTATGGTAAGCAACGGCTCACTGAATAATGACTTCCATTGAGTAAACATTTGGCTCTGGTTATCTTCAGGGATGCTGTTGGCTTGTGATCCAAGCTCGGGGGACTCTGAAGGCGGCAGGGCTGGGACAGAGGAAAAAGAAGGGAAACATAGTGTTCCTGGGCACATGTTCCAGCAATAATACAGTTGTAGAACTTTACATTCGTGTCTTCCAGATCTGGAAAAGAACAGATATATTTAAATCATTCTTGTTGAACAATTTTTGTATGTACAGTATTATGGTACCTTTTTTTTTTTTTTTTTTTTT